AAAGAAGGCAGGCCCCAGAACACATCTAAATATTATTCCAATTTTGTTTTAAAATATATATCCATTCATAAGGTCCTGGAAGTTTACAGATTAAAATGTTATACTTGATTGATTTTATGTTGTACACTTCTTGGTATCTTCTCAATTTCCTAAAATAAACACATATACTATCTATAATTAGTAAAAACACGTTAAATATTGTAAAAACTATGCATAGTAGATTATTAAAAATCCAAACACAAAGTATGAATAAAGATATTACAAATGACTTTTGAATATAATTCAACCAGGGAAAACGATACCAACAAATAACAGTGTCAAAAGTCTTTCAAGTTTTATGCTCCTTTTAAAATCTCAAATCCTTACCTTTAAGTAAGATATCTTTATCTTACTTTACAGAAGAGTAGAAAATACAAGAAAATATACACCAATACTCATCATCTATTGAAGTTCACATTCTTTGTTCTGATGAAGTTGTTTTAAAAATGCTGCCAATAGTTTTACCAATATCAGGATGCAACTCAACATGTGACATTCACTTTTCATGCAAATACCCCCTTATCTCCAACCTACAACCAGGGAATTTAAATGAGTTCTTTTCTCACCTTAACAACTATTGCATTATAATTGTTCACAGACTGCAGACGATCTTTGCACTTCCGGAATCAAGATATGATTTGATTACCTGGCCTTTTCTGTGCCTCCCGTGCACTGATGCATGCCAATGAATTCCATGAGTTGTTTCTGCAACATCACATCTTTGCCCTCGATTTGAGTAATGAAGTTATGCTGTAAGAGATCTGACACTGTTGGACGCTTTTCATAATCTTTAGTCAAGCACCTGCACTGGCGAAAAAGAACATGTCATTATTAGATAAGTTAGAGTTTTGAAATTATTACTCATATTCCCCAAAACTACACTAATACAAGAGAGTGATGCTCCTCACAAATGCTCAGCCCAAGAATCATCTCTCAAAAATTGTTAAACTGCAATGTAATGAAATAACTGTGAACATGCATACATCTGTCAGTGATTATGCTGTGCAGATCCCAACATCCAACTAAATACTACTTCCCAGCGTCCCAGCAAGCATATTGCACAGTGATAATTAAATTCTGTCTCCGCTGCAGTCTCCTTTACAAGTCAGGAGCTAAAGATAACAAGGAAGTCATTACAGTTTTAATGCTTATCTAAAATTAAAACAAACTTTTCAGTTTCCCTTCACTAACGCTTTTAAAGGCTTCTCAATTGATCTGTTTCTTCCTATGTGATAAATCTGCTAACCCATTTGAGAAGGCTATGTGCTGAGGATGTTTAAATTCCAAGTCAGTAGATGCTTTCTGAGGTCATACGGTCCACGTACTAATGCACAGCACACTTCTTGATAGGTTCAACCAGAGCAGTCAGGAGAAAGGAGAAGGCCAGTGAGAACACCTGCAACAGCATCACAGTTGGATCATTACAACAAACTTAGGATGTTTCATCAGCCGTGACAGCTGTCTTCAAATCTTTGGAAGACAGATTTGACTAGTTTTCAGTGGTTAGAAGAGACAAAAAACCTAGGATCGATTCGTGGAATTAAGAAACAGATTTCAGGTCAGTGTAAGGAGGAACTTTGCAACAATGAGGCTTATCAAAGATGGACTAGGCTGCATTTGGAAGTATGATTATCTCTATTAGGAGTATTTACTGACTGGATGGCCACTCTGTGCACATGTTTGAGAAGGATTTATGCTCTAGATATGAGTTTGGGCTATATAACTTTCCAATACCCTTCCAACCATGAGATTCTGAGGATCTATGATTATGAGAAAATTGGTCAGAGTTGGGCTGTCATTTGGGGATACAGGAAAAGAAAGAAAGAAGAAGAAACATATGCCTTGACTTGAGCAGTGCCATTGCTAATCCGTATTGTTAATCCTCCTTGCATGATAATTTGGCAATTTATTTCATTGGGCTTAACCAAAAAGATATTTCGTAGGGATGCTAACATATGCTAAGGAATAAGGATAACTACATTGGTTCTGAGCACCCAATTTCAATGTGGAGGGGGTGGTTTCCCCACACCTCCAAGAAGCAATGCTCCAGACACCAGCTGGGTGTCCTACGATTCAACTCAATCCTGACACTATCTTCCTGGAGACAGCATCAGATTCCACAGGTCAAAGGTTCACTCCTAGAAGACTGCCACCCCAACCTCCACAACTTCAGGTGCCAGTTGCAAGCCCTGGTCGTTACCTGTGCTTCTGACCAGCCAGCTACAGATGGGAGGTTCCAACACCCTCCTCCTTGGACTTTAGACACCAGTCGCCAAGTCGAGGTTGTTACCAGTACTTCTAACCAACTGGCTATAAATCAGAGGTTCCTAGGAACCCTTCTTCAGATGTGATTAATTTGCTAGGGTGGCTCACCGACTCAGAGAAACGTTTTACTTATTAGATTAATGGTCTACTATAAAAGGATATAACTCCGGAACAGTCAGATGGAAGAGATGCATAGAACAAGGTATGGGGAAAGGTGGAGAGCTTCCATGCCCTCTCCAGGCACACGACTCTCCCAGCACCTCCATGTGTTCACCCAGAGGTTCTCTGAAGCCCCTCCTTTTGGGTTTTTATGGAGGCTTCATTACACAGTCATGTTTGATTAAATCATTGGCCAGTGGCAGTTGTTTCAACCTCCAGCCCCTCTCCCCTCCCCTGGAGGTCAGGGGGTGGGGCTGAAAGTTCCAACCCTCTAATCACATGGTTGGCTTCCATGGCAACCAGCCCCATCCTCCAAAAGTCACCTTATTAACATAACAAAAGACCCCTGTATCACTCTTAACACTTAAAAATTCTAAAGGTTTGAGGAACTGTGCGAAGTTTCTGTGGACAAAGACCAAATATATATTTCTTATAAATCATAATATTGTAATAACGTTGTCTGAAGATAAAAACAAGTGCTCTTAGCTTTTTAGCTTAACAGACTGTCAATTTATGATATCTGTAGCACTTGTATCAATGTTTTGAGTATAGTCACATAGGAAAATATTTTATTCAAGTAAAACTTTATCAAATAGCTGATATATACCAGGCACTCTGCCCCACACTGGAGTCACAGTGACGAGGAAGGCACACTCAGAGCCCCAGAATTAGATAGTGTCTAGTTGGGGCGAAAGAAATCTAAACAGGTCACTAAATAAAAGTGACAGTGTTACTAGAGGAAGAGGAGCTAAACACGATGACGGCACACAGGACAGAATAAGAACTGCCTGAAATCAGAAAACGTTACTCAGAGGTGACACTGTGTAGAACATGTCAGGGCGACCAAGTTCCAGAGGACCTTCGTGGAAGGATCTGCAGACGGGGACACAATGAGGAATCGTGGGGAGCCCTTCAAAGTTACCAGCGATTCTCCTAAGAGATTTGAGAAATTCAATTGCAGTTTTTAAATATTCTGTAGTGCCTAGTGCATAGTCAATAATGACTAATTAAATGAAATCTGAAAAAAAATATTATCAATCCTTCTTGGGTTTTCACAACCTTTAAATCTAAGCCTCTTGTCTTAGATAGGAATAAGCAGATATTCTTGGCAGGAAAACAGTAATAGCAGTATTTATGAGTATGACTGGTTCCTCTACTTTTTTTTGCCCTTTCTACATCTTCTGAGTGGTGTCTGACAGACCAAATCTTAATGTCTCCTCCCTCCACATACACCCTGGGGTCAGCATTTACCTTATTTTTTTAAGGTGAAGACATAATGAAGATTGTGAAAACGGTTTGTGGAACAGATATTTAGAAACGGCTGACTCATGTCTTCTAGTCAACTGTGTGGAGATACTGCCCTTGGGCTAAATATTTGTCAAATTTAACATGTTCACTGAATTTCAAATGTATAAGCATTTTATTGATAGAATTATCTGACTCACCGGTTGCAAGAAAAATTCCCTGATTGTGATGAGAATTAGTGACGAAGATAAATGAAGGGTTAAACTGACTAACTAGATGGTGGGTGAGCAGGTGGGAGATGCTGAGGCCACGGCTGCCTAAGGCAGGTGGACAGAAGAAAGTGTTCACGGACAACGAAGTGTCCTCAGAAGCAGAGCTATGGATAAGTGAAAAAATATGACCCAAGATCATCACTTGAGCAAAGATGCATTCACTGAACACTCAGAAGACATTGCAAACGCTTGTTTTGAAGAAAATAATGGAAACCTCTGGGATCATTTAATAGATAAGCAGAAATAAGGAGGAGTTTCAGAAGTACAGAGCAACTATTACATAAAGTTGCAGCAGGATGGTGTCTCTGATTTTTTTTAAGACTCTATTGTTACTCACTTGCTAATAAAGTCATTGAATTCTGGTGACCACATCTCAGGCTTCCTTAGTTTTGGGGGTGGATTCCTAGAAAAATAAAAATCAAGGTTGGATTGTGCACATGGGTCAGTCAGTGCAAAACTAGACACACAGCTGGACAGACTAATGCATTACTGCACCATACATCCCGCCAGGTATAATCAAGCATTACCATCATTTTCCAACAAAGACAGATAATTAGTTATTAGTCATTCTTCATACAAAATGACAGGTTCCTTGTTTCTCTGAACGTATTAATATACGACCCAATTTTTCTAACTGATGATTTTTTTCTTTGAAAGAATCTTCTTGCTTTTATTTGAGAGCCCTAGAGGAAAACATCAATATTTAGCAGAATAGAAAAAATGAATACTGGAAAAAGTTTTCCCCTTTGAGTCCTGCAGAAGGCTCTGAGGACTATCCAGGGTACACAGAAGTGACCTGGGAGGAGAGTTATTCAGAACACGAAGGAGCTGCAGCGGAGAGGGGCACAGGAGAACGCCTTTGTGAGTTGTTCTGTTGTCACTGGATACATGGCCAGAAACAAGGGTACAGAAGGAAGGAACTGGAAGATATGATTAGCTATAAAGCTCTGAATGCCACTTAAAAGATTTTGTTATTAATTCCTTTCATTTGAAGCTGAACAAATCTTTTCGTTTTTGGCATGTTCATGAATACAAAGGAACATCGCTTGAAAATGAGGCTGATCTAACTCGGCAATCAAGCCACATTGATCAACCGTGATAGCTGGATTTGCTGAAGTACTGCTTTATGTTAATTCTAACAGCTCTTCGTTTGCATTAGTGGAATGGAAATACTTTGTCTTCAGTTCTGCATTACTCCTTAAATAGCTCGTAATGAAATTAATGTACAGTTTGCACCGGCTCATTAAGGAGAAGCGCAGCTCCTCATCTACCCTGGATCCCGCCTAAAGCTCATTTTACAATCCTTAGGACTGGTGGAAGAATGCTGATTTGCACATTAAAAGAAATAATTCTTTTCTCCAACAATCTTGCTTTGTTTCTCGTCCTCCTGAAAATTTCCTTTGCAAGAGATTTATTGGTTTGCTTTGAGTATAACAAAGTTTCGATGACTTTTAGAAGACTCAGAACTGGGTGGCTTTTCAGATCCCTTTTTTCTAGTTATTTCTACAGTGAGTATTCTTAGAATTTCATTTTCGAGAGAGAGTGGTGGTAGAAGGAATAAGAAATAACTAAGACGATGCAGTTTCCAGAAGTACGTTGCTCATAGGTACAATATGCACCCACAGGGCCATCCCTCCTCCATGTGGTGTCAAGACCAAGTTTAACAACATTGTGCTAACTATGGCAGTTTAAACCATAATTAAAATGGCTCATTCAGGGCTTCATCTCACAGACTGAACGACAGCAGGACTTAGGAAATACAGATTGTTTTTCTGGTTTCCTTTAAAGTTAATGGAATGTCTTAGACTTGGGATAGAACAGGTTTTCCATGGTTTTTTGTAATCTTATTTCTCCAGTGACCAAATAAGCAGTATATTTTACAATCAGTAAGACCTGGGAGATACACTGACATTGATATATGTATAAAGGATGATATATATCTAAGGTATTATAATTCGGAACACATGGAAAGGAGAGGAAATTCAAGGGTAAAATTAAAAACAAATTCAAATGCTTTGGTCTTATACTAATTTAATTACGTGCCAAATATTCCAAATGGATTCATTTGGAAATGAACACAACACACTGACATTAATTTTTTAGGACTAGAACACTACCCCCCAGGGCTTTGTACACATGATTCTATACTCTGTAGGCATTTGGACACAAAATATGTAACAAACTATAACATATTACCCTACCACTCTGCCCTGGGTCTGTCACCACAGGCTCTGTGTGTGCATTCCATCAGAATTAAGGTACCAGGCAAAATCCTTAAGAAAGTCTTCAAAAGATAACACATCTATAATAAAAATAGGCAGTATTTTCACATCCATTTTCTGAAATACCTAGGAACTAACCTATATAAAACAGTGCTTAATTAGTAACAGGATAAGCAGGGGACAGTCTGTTGATACACCCACTGAAGGGGAGGGGTCCACATAGAAAGGAAAGTGTTTTCATAGCTCCAAAGAAACTATTCTTCTGAGTTTACTGTTTTATATTAATATATTCAAAACTAACATATTTTAAATCATTATTATTTTATCAATAAATTTTATTTATATTTTTCTCAATATTATTTTAAAGTGCTAAAACAAAAAGTCTTAGCAAGTAGTAAAAAAACTACTAGATTGATAGGGTGAAGCAAGGCAAATCGCTGCTGCATTGACCGTGGACCAAGATGCCTCACTGACTAATTTGGGAGTGGATACAGAGTGAGAGGAAGTCCTGGTTTCTGAGATGAAATCCTTGCAAAAGAAAAAAAGGCACACCGAGTATCAATAGGAAGCTCTTTCCGTTAAACCAGGGAAATGGAACCCCTGAAGAAATCCAGTGTCTTGCATGAAGCAGAATGATATTCCAGGCCACTCTGCTCCCAACTTGCTGAAGTATATCTGAGTATTTCCATGACGAGCATGAGGAGCATACGGTGGCTGGAGGAAGAAAGCCGAGCTGCAGACACTGGACCCAGCGCTAGAGTCCTCTGACCTTGGTATTTTGAAGAGTGCTCTCATGGGGTGCAGGTCGGCTAGAGGAGGGTCTCCATCCCCTAGCTCGATGGCTGTGATCCCCAGGGACCACGTGTCGCATCTGGCGTCATAAGCGGTATCCAGTTGCTGTTCACACGCAATCACCTTGTAGAAAACGAAGAAAACGAGGTGAAGTTTGTGACTTTAAAAAGCATGTAGCAAAATGTTTAGAACAATGTGTAAGTGTACAGATATACACACATATATAATTTATATATAATAATTTACATATATATAAATAATTTATATATATATATATAAAATATATATATGGAAAGAGAGAGAATATATTTTCCCAACTTAGAGTCTGTATCACGACAGGGATATCATCTTATACAGTGCTTCTCAACTTTTCCTACCAAAGTTTTTTTTTTTTCTTACTTAAGGAGATTCGCTCTGAGCTAACATCTGTTGCAAACCGTCCTCTAGTTTGTATGCTGGCCTCCACCACAGCATGGCCACCAACCAGTGGTGTAGATCTACACCCAGGAACCAAACCTGGGCCACCAAAGTAGAGTGCACCAAACTTAACCACTAGGCCAACAGGGCTGCACCCCCTACCACAGTATTTTTAATATCATGGGACAGTGAACTGCTGAACCCAGAGAGATAGCCCAAAATACCAGAACAAGCAAAGAATCCCAAGCTTTATATCAAAAATTCATGTGACCCGGGGCCAGCTCCATGGCGTAGTGGTTAAGTCTGGTGCACTCCACTTCAGCAGCCTGGGTTCATGGGTTCAGATGCCAGGCACAGACCTACAGCACTCATCAAGCCATGCTGTGGCAGCAACCCACATACAAAATAGAGGAAGACTGGCACAGATGTTACCTCAGAGAGAATCTTCCTCATCAAAAAAAAAAATTCATGTGACCAATATTCATAGCAGTATTATCATAATCACCAAAAACTAGAAACAATCCAAATGTCCACAGAGTGATGACGGATCAAAAAAAAGTGGCATATATGTACAATGGAACATTATTCAGTCATCAAAAGGAGGGAAGTATTGATATATACTATGATATGGATGAACACTAAGTGAAAGAAATCAGACACAGAGGCAACATGATGCATGATTCCGTTAATATGAAACGTCCACAACAGGCAAATACATAGACAGAAAGCAGATTAGGCGTTTGAGAGGAGATGGGGAGTGACTGATACTGAGTATGGGGTTTCTTTTCAGGGGAATAAAAATGTTCTGAAATTAGATTGTGATGATGGTTGCACAGCCCTGTGAATACACACTGAAAATCATTGAATTGTACATGTTAAATGAGTGAATTATATGGTATGTGAATTATATCTCAATAAAGCTGTTACAAATAAAAAATACATTCATATGAATTTTCCATTCTGTTGTGTAATATATTTTTGTCTGCCTATTATAAAAATAATGGGTTTTGCCCCACTAGGCTTTTTTTCCTAGTAAAATTGTTGCTTCAGGATAATTTATTATTTTATGGCTTCACACATGTGGGTCAGGGAATGTCTCCCCATAGGCTCGGGTGAATTTATGCCCCAGTGTGCCTGAGCCGTGTTTGGTTTGCTTTCTTAGAATCATGATAAATACCATCCTCTTCCACTCTCCAGAGTGTCACGGCTTGAACAAAAAGCTATACAGTCACCTACCACGGTCACTCTTTCCCTTGTCCCCTTCGTCCTGACTCACACATACTTCAGTTTGGGAAGGATAGCTTTACGTAACCTGCAAACACCCATCCTTGATCTAAAATTTAATTAAAAAATATCAAGTCAAGAATCTCACTTTTCAACTGATAATTGATTTGAACAAGCTGCCTCTGAGGCCCCAAAAACACTAAAATAATTCCATGCTATTGATTATGGAGAATATATTAAATTTATTTACCTTATTGCTTTCTAATTCCTAGAAATTTGTCATTAATAAATAGATTTGGTATATAAGGGATGTCTTCATTAACTAGACAGCTGGTTATTCAAAACACATTCTTCAACAGTTCAAGATTAACGAGAATTTATTGAAATATTGCCAATGATTCACAAATTGGAAGTTGCTTATGACAGAAATTAATACAATACATACAAAATCTTGAACGCATATTTACACAACTTGAAAAGACCGCAGTGAATCTTTCTCTTTTATTTAATATCCATTGGTTTGCAACACAGGAAAGCACTTTCAAGTTCTGTTTGTGCTACAGTAGGTTTATTAATAATAAATAATGACTTAGTAAAATGACTGTCTAGTAACTGCATATTAAGAAGTGTCAATTTTAATTATTAACTCATTTAATACTCTGGTAATTAAATTTTAGATCAAAATACTTCCTTTTATTCGTAGATTAGAGTGGTCCCAAGATCCACTAATCAAAATTGTTTTTACTAACTAGCAAACTTAAACATATAAGAATGGCTTTTTGACCATAAATTAACATATGAAAAATAAAAAGCTAGACTATTAATTATTTGATATTAATTATATAATATAAATATTATAACAGTTTTTTTTAACTTTTTTATTGAGGTTATAATAGTTTACAACTTATTTCAGTTGTACATTATAATGAAATTAAAATTTCAGTGAAATTTCAGTTGTACATTATAATGTCAGTCATATTATAGGTGCACCAGTTTACCCCTTGTGCCTACCCCTGAACCCCCTTCCCCTCTGGTAACCACTGATCTGTTCTCTTTGTCTGTGTGTTTATTTATCTTTCACATACGAGTGGAGTCATACAGAGATTGTCTTTTTCTATCTGGCTTATTTCATTTAACATAATACCCTCAAGGTCCATCCATGTTATTGTGAATAGGATGATTTTACCCTTTGTCATGGCTGAGTAGTATTCCATTGTGTGTGTGTGTGTGTGTGTGTGTGTGTGTGTATACACACCATATCTGCTTTATCCAGTCATCAGTAGATGGGCACTTAGGTTGCTTCCATGTCTTGGCTGTTGTAAATAATGCCACAATAAACTTAGGGGTGCATGGGTCTCTTTGAATTGCTAATTTCAAGTTCTTTGGATAGATACCCAGTAGTGGGATAGCTGGGTCATATGGTATTTCTATTTTCAATTTTTTGAGAAATCTCTATACTGTTTTCCATAGTGGCTGCACCAGTTTGCATTCCCACTAGCAGTGTATAAGGGTTCCTTTTTCTCCGCAACTTCTCCAATGTTTGTTAGTTTTTGTCTTAGTTATTTTAGCCATTCTAATGGGTGTAAGGTGATACCTTAGTGTAGTTTTGATTTGCATTCCCCTGATGATCGGTGATGATGAGCATCTTTTCATGTGCCTATTGGCCATCTGTATATCTTCTTTGGAGAAATGTCTGTTCATATCTCCTGTCCATATTTTGATGAAGTTGTTTGATTTTTTGTTGTTGAGTTGTGTGAGTTCTTTATATATTATGGAGATTAACCCTTTGTTGGATATATGATTTACAAATATTTTTTCCCAGTTGGTGGGTTGTATTTTTGTTTCAATCCTGTTTTCCTTGCCTTTATAACAGTATTTCTTATATTAATTATTAATATATGCAAATAAGATGCAATGTTTAATATTATAGCTATATTTTATTAATTTCTCATTTCTTGACTTTTTCATAAGCTTTTAAAATACTAGTAATATATCGGAACAAACGGTGAAGAAACTCTTATTTGAGCTTCTCTAACTCAATTTTCTTTTTGCTTACATGACCATGCTTTCTATTTTTATTCTGTTTAACTCCCTGTTAAAAAGTTTTGAATCCATTGGAGTTTTTTAAAGTTTCTTAAGATAATTAATCCTTTCTCCACAGTTTATATTATGTTTGCATTTTAACTTTTTTTTGCAAGTAATAATTGAATTCATATTAAAATAGAAACAGTACACCACAATTTAATCTGCAAACAAATTTAATTCGAAGGTTTTGCAATATTAATACTGTATTTGAATTAATTCTCCTCCCTTCACTCCCTAGAAAATTGTAGAAAAATAGCAGAGCTTTTCCCAAAGGCTTCAGAGACAGTTTTCAAACATAAGTGTCTTTACTGATAAACATAATTAAAAAGATTAAAGGCATTAACAGGGACTGTGGGGAGAAAATGCGACCCTGGAAAACTTCTTCCCTCAACTATTTCAGTGGTTTATCTACAACTTCCCAAAGGCAACGGTGAAAAGAATCTATTGAAGCCGAACATAGGCCCCAAGCTGAGGGACTCATGTGGGAACCTGCTATATAGGTTAATGGACCTCAATGTGATCTTAAACAAAGGGTAGGGGTTTTCATAATTTTTCTATTAAGCTTAAAAACAGAACCTAAATATCATTAACATAGATACACACTAAGCAATTAAAAGTAAATCTAATGAAAAATTAAGGCTGCAAGTAGTTTCTCTTTACCTTATCTGATTCACTCATTCATTCAATCCTTCACTTATTTATATATTCATTCACAGGCCATTTACTGAGCACCTCCCATGTTCCTCCTCACACATGCAAAAATCTCACATAAAAACAACACAACTGACATTTTCTTCTAGAATATTCCAAAACACAAGTGGAGATAGAGTATGCATGAAAAATCAGAAAGGATCAAATATTACATTGTCCCCCTCAAAACTCCATCTGACCTCAGGAGCCATCCAAAATGGTGTCCCTACAGATGTATTCCGACGGTGCCAGGTGCTGGTGAGCTGTGCAGATACACCTGGGAGGAGGAGATGAGAATTACTTCTTGCATTAATTACTCATGTAAAGAGATTCCAATTGCAACAAATTTGCTCACAAACTAATATTAAAATGCTGTTGCCTTAAAGCTGCCACTGGACTTCAATTTCACATTAAAGGATCCTAAGTCAGGATTTCTGCACAGCCAAAATATGAATAGTCCTCCTATTTTCTCTCTCTCATACCCCACCTATCCATCCTTAAAGCCCCATTTCAAGATTTAGTTCCCCCATGCTAACTTTTAATCTGCTCCTGGTCATACTAACCTCTGTTTCTTTTGATTTTCTGCATTTTAAAATATTTGCCTGCACTGCCTATTTTGGCATGTAATTGTTATTTGAATGGTATGCTTCCGTTCTTCCTCTTCCTCCCTCTGCTCACTACCAAATTCTGGTGAATCTGAGAGTGTTTTATATGGTGGTATGCACGTAGTAGGTGACTTGTGAATAACATTATTTTCCATTTATCAACTCTGGATAAATCACATGTGACCAGAAGTCTGAAATTAACTACATCTATTCCAACCAACGCCATTAACAGAACCAGTTCTTTTTCTTTAGAGATGATGACAGAAGGACTACAATGAAGGGGTATAACCAAATATTTCAATCGTGCCATCCCATCAGCTCCTCCTGGTTAGACAGAATCATAACTGACCCTTCAGAAAGTCAGGAGCAGAGTCCCTCTCCTTGCTTTTCCCACTCCTGCTCCTCACGCCGGGCCTGGTTACCTCTGGTTCTATAGTGCTGCTTCCCTTGCCCTGCTCCCAACGTGATGGGTTCTACCCAAATCGTGGGCTTTCACTCTCTGAATTCCCTGTTTTGAAAAGTGCCTCCTGGGTATCACGTTTGGTTTAGGCTCCGGCTGTTTATCTTATAAGCCAAGTAGAACAAAGGCTCTAATTGAGATTTAAAACTGGATATATTTGATTCCTCCAAGATGGCATTTGACATTTACATGAAATTGAAAGGCCGTATTCAGGCAGTATGCTTTGGTTCCACGCTAACTGCATCTCGTAATGACCTACTTTGCGTACATATAAATCCTACCCTAAATAGAATCCTTAACTATGGCCTTCAAATTTTGTCTTTAAAAATGATTATTTGACAGAAAAAGTACCCTCACTAAATCATTTTTCAAATTCAAAGGAGATTATCTCATCTGTGCTTGAAGGTTCTTCCTTAAATATTTTCTAACAGATTATCTGAAGAAAGGAATCAGCACTTAATATCACATTTCTCCAAAATACATCCTCTCTCTACCTCTGCTCCAGGCATTTTTCCTTTCAGGAAAATTAAATTTAAATCTAAACATTTTATCTTCTTTTTCTATGAAATAAAGGCAGAAAGGATGAAGCTTGAATTTAATGATAGTATCAGAGTATAGTAATTGATATAAGTGGGAAGAGTAAGTAGATTTTAAAATTTGACTATAAATTTACTAAAATTTTTTCTAAAGGTTTCTAATTATTTACGAAAACAATTTAAATTATATTTGATCCTTGCTGGACATTTTTCTTTCAATTTCATAAAGATAGTTTAAAAATTCAAATGTCATTTAACTAAAATGCAAAAGGGAAGAAATAAAACCAAAATCAAGTAAAAAATCAAAAGTCTTGCTCCTGGCAAAAAAGCGACATTTTAGACTAATCATGTGATACTATTTTCCTCTTTCTCCAGGAAGAAAAGATATGTCACTAGAATTGGCATTTTTTATCAAGTAGTCATGGACTGATGTCTGAATTTATAAACATGGAGGGCAGGCAAGGATGTTCCCTCCACACTCCGCAGGCAGTAAAGATGGAAGGATTCTCTGAAGAGGTTTCTAGGGGTGTGGCATGTGACCCAAGGTAGAGCATTCAGACTCTTTTCTTGGAAATATGAATATCAAGTGGACACACTCAGGAAGGGAAGCATCTAGAGCTGAGTCAACCAATGGCAGGACTCTAAGCATTATCCCAGGGGATGCTGCTCCTGAGGTCCAGGGCTGCCATAGTTCTATTCTTAGGAGGCCAGACCACCCAGGTTCTCCCTTGATTTTGTAAGCCAGCCCGAGTCGTTTTCAGTATCCTTGCCTAAGTTGTCACAGTTAGTTTCTGTTGCTTACAACCAAGGAACCCTGACTAATACAAGTCCCTAATGATTTTACATATAGCAGAGCAAATTAACAAGGGTCACAGTCAATAATGAGTTTACGAAGCCTAAAAGTCACTAGGCTTTCTACTAACATGAAATCATATTACATTTATACATTTACACTAATATGAGAATAAGAATTTTCTAAGGCAAACGTTTGGCCTCCAAACTCTTTAATCACACATCCTAATGAGAAATAATCCATCCAATAAGAAACTTTTGAGCATGCATACTCTACATAGACAGAGATAGACTATTCTCTAAGTATTTACTAGCATATTAATATATACATTATGAAATAGATACATGAAGACAATTTTAAAGGATGAGATTTAAATAACTATAATAGAGGTACAAGCATTTCTTCTGCACTCCAATGATGTCTTGTAAATACCCTGGTATTGACACTCCCTTCAGAGACCACTGGTCTAAGGAGTATTTGGGTAACGAATTACAATGCTCTTGGAGGCTTATATATCATTTAGTGTCTTTTGGGATCCTGCAGAATGTTTTATGCCTGGTTCCTGCAAACAGACTAGAAACAAGAAAAATTCAGCTCAGAATGTGGAGAAGGAAAAACAAAGCCTCAAAATAAGTGAAAAAGGAAAAATGAAATTAGGTAGAATAAGAAGTCCTTGAATCTGAGAATATCAGATTATCGCATTCAAAACAGGACACACAGCCAACTACGACAGAGTGACAGAGGAAGGCAGTCACCGAATTTCATGTTTGTTGAATGCTTCTGCAATGACTGTTAAACCTCAAGAGCATCTTACCTACACAACCAAATAGCTTCAGAGCTGAAAGGCAAGTGAATGGTCATAAAATCTAACCTGTTCATTTTCAGGTTAGTAAACTTCAGCCAGAGAGAAAAATGAGTTTCCTGAGGCCAATTGGCATTTTTACTTAGTATAAATTCTCCCAAGAAAAGTAACTAAGTAGGTAGAAAAATGCAAAACTCTATCAAAAATGATTGAAATAAGTTACTTTCAAAGGTAACAGGAATCCAAATTATGAGGTCAGTAGCCCTAGGAAGTAAAGAAGATTAGAAAAATCATCTTGTCCAGAGAGGAACTGATGGAATAAGTCACCAAGGTAAACAGTTACATAAGCATCTCAAGGGAGAAGATGCTAAAGGGTGGAAAATTCCAGGCAGAAAGTTCAGATAGCAAGAGGATACTGAAAGGAACAAGAGGCCAAAGAAAGACCAAGACTGAACAGAAAACAGGCTAGGAGGGAGGGCAAGAATTCATTACAAGTCAAAGCCCCAAGGCATTAAGGAGGTTCATGTTAATGATTCTTTAGCCCTTTGCTTTCATTTCACTGCTGGGGAATTTTCACACTATTTGAGGCCCCTGCAATAGGGCTTCCTGGGCTGTTTGATGGCTGTGCAGCAACTCCATTCCCTATTGCATAACTCCTGTTTCTAGGGAGAAAAATGTGCAGGCTTCACTCTTGTGGTCAGGAGTTCTCTTAGGGTCTTACGGAGTCAGAAGAAACATCAGATGTGTGCTTTCCAAAGTGGTTCAAACAGACCAGACGACTTCAGGGAACTCGATTTACCGTACAGTAAACCCTTTGATATCTCAGAGCAAAGGGAAGAGCATGGGTTTGTTGTTGCTGTTGTTAAAAACAAAATACTGCAGATACTGCAGGAATTAGAATTGAAGTGATAAGAATACAGAAATTTTATAACAAGAAGGGGCCGTAGAATTTATTATACCATCTAATATCCTCATTTTGTAGATGAAGTTAATACAGTGTGATGGTTAATTTTATGTGTCAACTTGACTGGGCCTTGGCACCCACACATTTGGTCAAACATTATTCTGGATGTTTCTGCGAAGGTGTTTTTTGGATGAGGTTAACATTTAAATCAGTGGACTCTGAGTAAAGCAGAATACCCTCCATAATGTGGATGGGCCTCATCCAATCAGTGAAAGGCCGTAAGAGAACAGACAGACCTCCACTGGGCAAGAAGTGATTCTGCCAGTAGACTGTCTTTGGACTTAAACCGCAACTCTTCCCTAGGTCTCCAGCCTGCCAGCCCACTCCATCCGATTTTGGACTCACCAAGCTCCACAACTGCATGAGGCAATTCCTTAAAATGAGTCTCTCTCTCTATATATACACACTCATCCTGTTGGTTCTGTTTCTCTGGAGAACCCCAACTAGTATAGGTTTTGGTACTGAGAATGGATCTGGAGGAACAGAATCTTAAAGATGAGTTTCCTGAAGTGATGCTGGAGTCTCTAGAATTGGCTGTCTAATCTGATTAGATTTAAAGACACTTTTGGCTCTATTCCCAGTACTAAAAAGAGCACGGATAGTCCATGGCATGATGTGGCAACAGACACACACAAAATATCAACAGTGGACACCTGTGATCAAACCCTTATAAGAGGCACAGTTTAGGGTGACCATGTATTTGCTACTTTTGAACATTTTTGTCAAACTAACGTGTAAAATGAGATTGGTTGGTTTCTTCTAAAGTCATTGGACAAAGTGTGGAAAGAAAGGGATGACCTCAGGGATTCAAATCCCCAGCTCGAGGGCTGCATAACTGACCCGAAAGCTTCTGTGTCAGCCTTGAAAGAGACCCTTCTCTCCCGTAGCCACAGAGCTGAGACCACTGAAAACCACACCCAGAATCTCATCCTGCAAGCAACTGAATCACGATGCAAACTGAAATCCCAACCTCACAAGGTGTCTACTGTTAAAGTGAGGGCACTGACTGGGAAGGAATGGGATCCCGAAAACCAGAATATGGGCATATGCAAAGATCCTCTTGAAGCAACTTTGAACCCCTAAATGCTGATGAGTTGTCTTTGCCAGTAGACGCACC